TTAAAAAGTCTTTTGATCTTTGAGCTTCGGGAAAGTGTTTTCTTATGGATTTTCCCATTAGCCAAGGTTAATTGGCAGTAGATTTATTTTGGTTAGTGATCCCAAAACCCTTTTTTGACTAACCTGGCCATCCTATCTCTACCACTATTGCCCCATCTAGCATGCTTACTATAAAGAGTCAGAGACATTATTCTGAGCAATAGAAAAAGAAGAAAGAAGGATCATTATCAAAAAAAAAAAGAAAAAAGAAAAGTAGAAGAAGAGACGAGAGTGAAAAATCAATCTTCCAGATCCAAAGTAACCAGCCCATGAACATGAAATCCGCTAAATAAAGTACTTTCTAAAATTTTAATCTGAACCCTATCACCTGAAAAAGAAATTAAATGTCCATCAGAAGAGAAACACGATATTGCTTCTCCTCATTTCAAGAATGTAGAGCATATTATGGAGAAGCATGATAAGACCATATTGAAACTGCAATTGATAGGTCTCTACCCTCAACACATTCTCTAAGGCATTGTTTCCCATGAAAATCTTCATTCGTCCTACTGGAACTCTGCGAAGATCAACAAACCCATCCACATCTCTTACTATATGTTTTGAATTTGATGCTTTTGAACCCATAATTCAACCATGAGCAAGTGTATGAGTGATAGACAATTTAGTGCAAACATTTGAAAAAATAGAGGAATGAATGGTTCATAACCTCTTCGGTTTTGTGTATTCATGAGCAAAGTGACTAGTCTTCCTACAGGTCAAGGAGAGTGTTGCTTGCCTCGCCTTTGCATGTTGTTCTTGCCTTTTCTGGTTTCAGTCTCCATTTCCTTCCTCCTCTATGAAAACTTACCCCCTGGACTTGACCTTGGGTTTGTTAACACCCTTAGGCTTGCCTGCCTGGCAAGCATGGCATCGTTGCTATCACTTGTAGAGCTGCGCTCAGCCTCTAATTCCTAATGTTGAGATAATTGAGCAACAGTAGTGGTGTTCTCATTATGCGCATTGTTATCTTCATCTGATCCCAAAAAGGAGGTTGTGATTGAAGCACCATCAGCATCTATTGCTCATCACTTGAGAGTGTTGCCAACGACCAAAGTTAGAAAACTTGGACTTGCTCTAGGACTTGGGTGTTGCCTGGGGTGTGTTTTAGTTCAGTGAGTTTTGAGTGAACTTACCTAGTTTGGCTTGAGTTGCCAAAAATTTGAAATAATTTCTAGAAGAAACGAGCTTTGTAGTTTTCTATTGTAAATAAGCCTATGATTTGATGAGGAAAACAAACATAGGCCTAGGAAACAATTTTCATCCATGATTGGCTAATGGTTGCAAAGAAATCACAACTTTCAGAATTCAGCCAAAATATATGTTACAATTATTGATCTCTTAAATCCCTAAACTTTTGATGCTTTTCCTCAAATCTGATCTTTGCAATTCATAGGTCATGTAGAAAGGGACAGACAACCAAATTTTTGCTCAATTAGATATTTATATGAAGAGGAATGAGGAAAAATAGGGTCAGATTTCTGTCGTGCTTTACATCAATGAAAAACTATCGAACATCAACAATTTTTGACAACCTTGTTGAGTTTGTCAAAACTCACTAAGTTGCTATAGTGTGACTTGCTATAGTAACTTGCCCGAGTATTGTAGCAGTTCCATATCCCCCGAGCTGGGGGTTTTTGGGCTTGATGGGGTTCCGAGCATAATGAACTCAGTTGAGTCTAAGTTGACTTGGCCGAGTTTTCTAGCTCCCTCGGCCAATGAACTAGTATTTCAAGGCCTGCCACATGGCCTAGAGTGTCCCTAGCCTTTGAATTGGGCAATTAGGTCCTTGTGATGCTACCGAGCATGGTGAAGCGCAACAATTCTTCTTGAAGAAAAGCCTTATGGGCTTCCATCCTGCGAAGGGCGTGGCCAGCCCCTTCCATCTTGCGAAGGGCGTGGATCTCACATTGCCACATATCATAGTGTTTTTATCTAGTTTTCCGTCTTTTGAGATCTACTATCACATTCTTGAATTCTGCTGCAATCTATACATGAAAGAATGGAACTTACATTTACTATCGTGGATGGAGTGGTTTGCTTGCACATGGGCATTCGCACACGCACATAAATATATCATTATGTCTATCTCTTACTTGTATCTTCAAGGATAAAGACAGTCCAACCTCCAAATCAAACTGGCCACTGCTAATAATTAGCATCAAGTCAGGGTCAGAAGTTTGACTTCCTAATCCACGTCATTAAGTGAATGTTTGCATTTTCAATGCAAATTTCCACTATTTGGTGCAATCTATGATAATCGCTGTTTGAACAATAATCACAACTAGATTGCTTGCTAACCTATTTATGCTATGTGCATACAGGTTTTCTAACCCCAAAAGATATGCATAAATCATACATAATGCTCATGTAATGCAAGAGAAAAGACATATTATGAACTACTGAATTTGCTGTTGGGATAGTTTTTTGGGTATTGGATGTGCAATCAGCAAGCGGAAACCTGCTGGTTGCATTCGTCTAATCGAGCTACCCCAAAAACATATGTTACATGATGAAAACTGATGCCCAGATGCAAACTTATGCCCCTTCTGAAAAATCAGTGCAATTTTGCATAAATCATTATATATAATAAACATAAACATGGGGTCCACAAAACGTTTTCTTAAGTCTTTTGTGCATGCATGGTCTCCCTATTGAAATCCATATGCGTGTCTTAATAATAAAAAAGTTCTCCAGCTTGATTTGGGCACACCTAGGTCTTGGGTTGGTCACTGCTTCTTCATGTTACCTGGTTAGCCAGGCTGGTTGAGGAACCAGCCTCTCTGAGGCTGGACATGGCTGGCCTCATGGTCTAGCTGGGCTGGGCAAAGCTAGCCTGCCGTTCATTTGCAGCCGACACCAAATGAGGCCACAGGCTGGCCCATTTTGAAGGTTGACTAACATGGCTAGTTTGTGATGCTAGCCAACCAACTCGACACCCACGCAGCCTAGCAAGTTATGGCCTATCTAGCCCTAACTTCATCTAAATGGTGGCCGGGTGTGCTGCTACAGAGTGAGGCTTTAACTACAAGGTCATCAAGCCCTTTTGATGAGGCTTGGTGGCCTCAAGGCGTGGTCTCTGGCTGATGGCTTTAGAGGCCATAGCCGTTTGTGGAAGGCCCGTGGTAGGCTTTCACAGCCGTCTTGTGGCCCAGGTCATTGAATCGCATGGCCTCAATCTCTCGTTCCCTTATGATCAAAATCAAGGCAGCCCTTGTGGAACTAAACCATGAACCATAGGTGGTTGAATGGGTTCAGCCAGCAAGCATTCAGATAGGGCATATGCTAGGCAGGCCATTGGGGCATCCTATACCAAGAAACGTGCCTCTATAGCTAAGCCAGCAAGGCCTTCAACAATGGCTTCATTCAATTATCACAAAACAGAAACGTTTCTCAAAATTGGGACGTGCAAAGAGAGATGATTTTGTTTGTGGACCATAGAGGCAATAGGATCTAAGAGATAGGTATTTGTATCCTCGAGAGGCAAAACTCTATGAGAGGATTAAATCATAGTTGATGGGATCAGGACCAGAGTTAGAAGTGGGATTAGGATCGCAGCGGAAGTGAGGTATTGTGAAATGCTAGAACTTCCCTATGGTTGGAAATGTCGTTCATACAATGCATATGTTTGGGATCTAGCTCCCCAAATGTTAGGAATCGAGATCCCAACCTCTTGGGGATCTTGACCCCAACCATTTGGGATAATGACCCCGACCATTTGGTATCTTGATCCCAACGTTTTGAGGATCTTGCTTCTAACCTTAAAGAGTATGTATAGTCTATGACTCTATGATTATATATACTCTTTAAAGTAAGGATCTCTTTATTTATTTCCAACAAGCAATGCAACTATATTATAAGTATAATTGTATTGTTGGCTGGCTATAAATAAAGAAACCCATCGGCTTGATTGTTTTCTTGGAGGTTGGGATTGAGATCGGTAGGAATTGGGATACATAAAATTTAAAATAGAGATCCCTCAAAGATCTTTAAAAATAGAGATCCCTTGAAGATCTTTAAACATAGAGAACCCTTGAAGCTCCCTTTCTGGGAATGTGGGAACGAGATTCCAGAGTGGGATCACCAGATATGTTGGGAAATTTTGTTAGCTACATATCAAATCAATCTTCTTCTCCCTAAGTGGCGAACCACTATTAGGGGTGTAGACCTCTATTAGGGGCTCTGATACCAATTGTTGGCTTGCAAGGCGAGTCATGATGTTGTGGAAGCATAATGCAGGTGCGCACATAAGTGGCCTGCCAACATGCAGAACATTCTTTTGCATGTGGATTGAAAACAGATAGCCAGGTATTACATTCTTTCACCCCCTTGTAGAATGGGCATTTTTTCAGAAGTCTGCTTGTTCAATGCAGATTTTTCAAGTGGCATTGAAAGTTGCCTAGGCGCTATTAGGCTCGTGAACTCCACTCGTTCTCCGGGAGAGGAGCTTTTTGCCTAACTAACTTACTTGTTTTTGATGGCTCATATTAAGCTCCATCAAAGTCTGCTAGTGCACATGCCTTGAACTCCTGTGTGGTCATACTTGAAACATCGTCAAAGGCTGTTTCTGGGCATCTTCCAAACTGGCTCTAAGTTAATGGGTTGCTAGTCATCTCACTTGCGGACAAAAAAACTTAAAATTATTTCATGATTGCTTCAATTTGTTATTCCATTTGTTGCTCTTTGTTATTTAATTTGTTTTTTAAAATTATGTTCACTCTAATTGAAGACGTGCCAATTTTTCAAAGTTAAGTGGTATCCTAAAATCTTTTCATTGAAAGTCATAGCTTGCTTCATCTCCATGAAAGTCAATTTATGTGCTCTACATTGATTTGTTTTCATTTATACGTCTCTGTGAATAAGTGGGTTCTCATTTGATCATATCACTATCCATCTTTGTCTAAGTTTTATGTTTCTTTAGTTCTGTTTATTCACTTAAGTGACGTTTTGGTATGGGATTTCAGCTGAAAATGTTGTTTGTTCTTGGGGCCGTGGTGAGGATGGCCAACTGGGGCACGGGGATGCTGAAGATCGTCTGTGGCCAACTATATTGAGTGCACTTGATGGTCATGGAGTAGTTTCAGTTACCAGTGGAGCTGATCATACAACTGCATATTCAGAATCTCCATTTCAAGTCTATAGTTGGGGATGGTATGCTTAATTTGATTTGAATGGCGATCATTCCTTTATAATATTCCATTTGCAGTGATATAGAGTCCTCTATTTGGGTAGATATGAATCAAGACCAATATTGATTTTTCTGGTAATTTTTTCTAGAATTTTCTTTGTCATTGACATGGACTTGATCTTCCCTTTTGTGTAAAGTGGGCACATTTTAAATGTGAAAATCTGTATAAAGTTTTTCTAATGTTAACTAAAGCAGACTTGATTCCTTTGGGCTGCTATGTTATGTTTGGACTTCAGAATGTTTGGACTTTATTGTCTCCATGTCATTATACATGTATGAGAGAAGAAGGAAGATCATTCTTTATTCATGTGTCTGTATGTCAGAGAGACACAAATTTATGTATGTTTGTATATGTGTACATGAATGTATGCCTCCCTGAATCCTGTTTTCCATGGCATGGAAAGTAGTTTTGTTTGATGATTGAACATAGGGTTCCTGTACAACATACAGATGACGTGGGAATGTAAGCTTGTCTGCTGTTTCTGTTGACAAGAAATGAGGTTCATCTAGTCAGTCCCTTTGTCAACCACACGTGTCTATCTTTTTGATCACCTCATCATTCACAACATGTTCTGTCATCGGGTTGTTCTTTTCCTTCAAGATTTAGGACAAGGGGACATGAGCTATTCTTTACATTAACTGCTACTCATGCTAGAAAGTTTACTTGCCCAGTTGTCTAATTGGGAAATATTAGTGGGCATTTCTTATCCTGGACTCCAAGATGGAGATTGAGGACTCCAAGGCTAATTATCCATCCTGGAGACCATTTGATTACTTGAATTGAAATTTCTTAGGTGCAAATGACTTCATGACATTGATTCGGTCAGTTTGATGAAAACTGCCTTGAATCTCACTAGTCTTGAGCTTCTATGGCTAATTATACGAGGGATAGTTATGTTGAGTGGTCTTCTTATTGTTCTCTTAACCCTATCTTGGCTGTTCTCAAGTTTTGTTGGTGTGCATTTTCCTCTTGTGTGCATTCTGTGGGTGAAGTGTTTGTTAAATATGTATGAGCTAGTGGTCGTTTTTTCATACATTTTGTTGTATGACTTTTACTTTTATGGTTCTTTTCCCCAAATTTATATATTCTTAAATGATTCTATTATTAAATGTGTCACTTTTCACTATAGAATGTTACTTATTCTTGTTGCATATCAGGGTATTAATCATACTTCTATTGGATTGGAAAAGAGAAAACCTTCCTTTTATCTAAATCCCATTATTCTGGAATCCCGCATTTTTTTCCCTTTTCTTTTAAACCTTAAGGTACAGCAATATTTCTTCTTGTCGAGCGTGCTGAAAATTACATGTCGTATTTGGCAATATATGTGTTGCATGGAGGATTTTTCTTGTATTTTGGTCTGAGGGATCGAAAATTGTATTTGAATCTGGTTTCTGTTGATAGCTACTTGTGTTTTTACTTGCAGGGGGGATTTTGGAAGGCTTGGGCATGGTAATTCCAGTGATTTGTTTACCCCTCGTCCTATTAAGTCATTACAAGGATTAAAGATAAAGCAAATCACTTGTGGGGATAGCCATTGTCTGGCTGTTACTGCACAAGGAGAGGTCCAGAGGTTAGTTTCTCTCAACAGAAGATGTACATTCTAATTCTAGATATCTTTGACTTCTACTCTTATGTGTATTAGTATGGATTATTGAAGAAAGATCTTGACTTTGTATTTTTGACATGTGGTTGACTGTCTTGCTAAGGAGTGGTAGGGTGGAATTTCATAATGAGCCCTGGACCCCAAGTCCTTTAATTTCTAGCCTACTACTGCCCTCTCATCCTTTTTGTTTCTTTTCCTTCTTACTCCCATCTCCACTCCTCTTCTCATACTCTTTTTCATTGTATCACTCTTCTTTTTCTTTATAGGTTCTCTAATGAGCACATCTTGATGTAAACTCCTGCCGATTAATACAATATTTCTTATCAAAGAAGAAAAAATATATATGAACGTGACTTAGATTCCAGCTTCAAGAAGCCCTGCCCTTAGTTTGCTACAGTGGTCGAGATTTAGTCCAGCATGTGTTCATGTATGCATGTACATATGTGTAAACAGTGTAAACATATGTGAGCTAGTTCCTTGCAGTCCTGTGTGCACCATAATTCTTTGTGTAAACATGCTTACATGGAGTAAATATTTATAGCTAATTTGGAAAATAAATCATGTTTTGACCACAAGAAACATAAGAATTGGCCAGTGAGTTTTTGTGGTCCCTCATATTCCAGATTGATGTTACAAAAACAGAGGAGCAATATTCCTTTTGCTTGGGTGTCCCAGGCATCGTTCCTCTAGATGGCCCCCACACCCCCAAAAAAAAACCCACCCCACCATGTTAATATTTTTCTTGGAATATCCAGGGCCTGGGACACCCGAGCAAACGAATGCAGTGCAAGACACTTGCACCCGCTATTGTCCCATCATCCTCTCCCTTTCTGAAACTAAAATGCTCTCCCCCTCTCTTCACTTTGTTAGACAGGTTTGGGGTCGCAGGCCTTGCAATTGGATTGCCCTCTCTGCTGTGGGTGCGTCGAGTGGCATATGGATCATCTGGGATCCATCTCTCCATACCCTCTCTTCGTCTCACATTGCATCTTTCTCAGTAACAGTGGTACTTTCAAGACTCTCAGATGGTCTCTCTTGGCCGTCTATGGTCCCCCATTCGGATAACCTCAGAGAACAGTTGTGGAATTAACTGGACCTTGTAGCAGCAATTCCTCCCTCAAGGTCGTGCATTGGGGGCGACTTCAACATTACGAGATGGTCTTATGAGCACAATTCTCACTCAAGAATATCCCAGGGATGCTCTTTTTCTTTCATTTCATCTCTAGATAGTCTTTTAAACATCCCTCTGGAAGGGGCTCACTTTATGTGGTGAAACCACTTGGCCTTCCCCTCCCTTTCTAAACTAGACAGATTTCTACGTCCACCAATTGAGATGCCTCATTCCCAGTTTCTCATGCCTTGGCTGTACCAAAACCAACCTAGGACCACTGCCGTATCCTTCTAAACACTAAGCCTGTGCTCAGAGGCCCTAAACCTTTTGAGTTTGAATTATCTTGGCTCAACGAGCCTATTTCTCTCAAATTGTCCCGTAGTGGTGGGATTCTTTTGCTTCTCAGGTGTCGGGTAAGGCTGGCTACTGCCTCCAGCGCAAAATTCAGATGCTCAAAGCATCCCTGAAAGATTGGATAAGCAATTTCCCGGCTATTTCCATTCCCGCAAAGACTTTCAGCTTCAGTCCATTCGAGACTGGGATGCCATCGAAGAACATCGGACTCTAGTAGAAGCCAAGAGGCAGCAGAGAGTCTAACTCAAAAATCGATGAGCAGTCACTTCTCAAACTGGAAGAAACTTACTAGAATCAACGATCCCAAGTTAAGTGGTTAAAATTGGGGGACCTCAACATCGCCTTTTTCCACCAGATAGCGAGTTGTAGGGAGGTGTGACAAGTCTATCACGCGCATTAGAGTCGGGGAATTTGTCTTTGAAGAACCTCCTGAGGTCGATTGGGCAATCCTCACTTTCTTCAAAGACGTTTTCTCCCCCTTCCGGCCCAAAACCCTCGATGGGCGACCCATCTTTTTTCCTCCTTCTGCCTGAGAAGGCTTCCTGACTTGAGAGGCCATTCACTGATGTTGAAATTCTCAAGGCCATACAACAGCTTGGTCAAGATCGTGCCCCAGGGCCCGATGGATTCCCCATTGCTTTTTTCAAAACCTCTTGAAATTCTCTTCCACCTGACTTCCTCGCCTTCTTCGAGGAATTCTTTCAGCAGGGTACCCTTCATAGCCTCATTCCCATAGTCGAAGGGTCCGAAGAACTCAAAGACTATTGTTCCATCAACCTCATAACAACACTTATAAAATCCTCTCGAAGGTCCTTGCCTCCTGTCTTAGATAGGTTTTGGGCTATGTTATTCCCCCCAGCAAGGGGCTTTTGTTAAGGACTGCCAGATTCTCGATGGAGCCTTCATAAGCCATGAATGCTTAAGGCCCCTTAATTACCCATCTTTAGTACGTAGACGTCACATTAGTCTTCTGCGAAGCCTCCCCTCAGGGGGTTGTCACTCTCATTCTATTCCTCAAGTGCTTTGAATGGGCAATTGGGTTTAAAGTCAATATGAACAAGACTAAAATGATAAGGGTGGCCTGGACCTCCCGTCTACACAAGCCATTGCTGACCCGATAGGGTTGTCGTTCTGAAAGTCTACCCTCCACTTACCTTGGCCTTAGTAAAACTAAACATAGCATGTTAGCCCACATTATTGACAAAATCGACCGTTAAGTTTGCAATTTGGAAGGGTCGTTATCTCTCTACTGCTGGACAAGTCACCCTCATAAAGGCCACTCTCTGCAATGTGCCACCAAATGTCCCTTTTTCTTATGCCGCCGTCAATTCACTCTCGGCTTGAGTAGCTCATGAGAAATTTCTCATTTTGCGGAGATGATCATCACCGCAAAATCCACCTTTATATCCTAAGATAAGATCTGCTCACAACACCACTCAGGGGTGAGAGTGTATAATAATCAAATCTCATACACTTGGAGTCAACTATGTCAAGACTCAAGACAGTACGACTTTAATTTTACACAATATAGTTGGGATTGAACTTACAAATTGAAATTATACAAAGGTTACTGTGATTACAATGAACAATTGACTCCAAAATACATCAAATAATAGAGAATACAACTCAATTAGGGTCCCTTGTGCATCAACAAAACAAACTACTCAAGGATATCATCAAACTACACATGTATGATGTGCTTTTGAAAACTTCTGCACCACTCGAAATAAAAATATAAAATTATGCATCAATAAACTCTATAAAACTCAATATGACATGATCTCCAACATAACAACACACATATGTTCGAGGGTATAATGCAACATGTCCATGGGAAGCCGATTAGAGCTCTCTGGTGCTCAGTTACAGCCTTGGGTCTTAGCTATGTACCATTGGGTGACATGTGCTGGCATAACTAAGAATTGGGCCAAATTCATCATCTCAAGAGTGAGAAGCCAATCATTTACTGATATACACTTAAAACATGGAAGGATTTGCAGAGATCAAGTGATCAAATCAAGTGAAAAAATCGTGGGAGAAAATGAGGCTCTTAAAACACAAATCTGGTTTGATTGAGTTACAAATCGAGCCACATAAATTTGGCATAATCTCCTCATATGAAAAAACAATTAGAGGCATCAAAATGAGGATTTAATTGACTGATTTGGTCATGAAAATCTTTGAAAATGCTCCAAAATTTAAAGGTAAAAGCTCATAGAAATAGATCAAATTATGCATGGCTGATGCTTCAACTATATGGATCAACAGGGATCAAGGTAGATTGAAGAGATCAATGATCTAACATCAAAATGATGGAGATAACTTGCTGTAATTAGGTATTTTTTGCAAGAAGAATCAACTTGAATAAAAAAAAAAGATCTTACTCAATTGATGAAGGCCTTAAGACGAGATCATCCACGGCTTGAATTTGAGCTTTGGATCACTACTAATGAAGTTATCAAGGAGCTTCAATAGTGCTCTCTCACATCATCTTCGAACCAACTTTCAAGAGAGAGAAAGGACGAGAAGGCCTAGGGGCGTGCCACTTTGATGGTAGCGAGATAGAGAGAGTGGCGTGCCACTTAGAGACAGAGTGAACTCGTATGTATGGAGTGGAGGCTTAAGGGGGTATTTATAGGCTTCTAACCATTAAGTGTATAGATTCTTATAGATTGATGAATCTTGGCCCTCCATGTCATCATCCAATGGCTACAAAGAGAGGCTTGATCATAGCCCACTATCGACCATTATGCCATCAAGATGTGGTATGGATTTAAACACCTTTATCCTCTAATTCACTCCAATTTCCCTTGTTATTAGAATACCTATGCTCCTTTAATTAAACCAAAAACCAAGTTGGATGGCATATCATTGTTGTAATTTGTCAAAATTCTAGCAAATAACCAATCTCAAAAGTTCTCTCCATTTTATAAGAGCATGTGAGGGTGAGGCTAATGAAATAATGCCACATAAGCTAGTTGGTTAATTACACAATTACCATATACCCTTAGGGTTAGGCTTGTAATTACAAACCCTATGCCTCTTCTAGAATCCTCACACATGTGCACAAACCCCTTGCTTTTCACATTAAACATGTGCTCAAATTTTTTTTTTTCTAAAATCATAATATTCCATAAAATAACAAAAGACAGTGCCCCTCACTTAATACAACAAAATACAAAAGGACCCCATGGGGGGTTGATATCACCCCCATGTCATCCTTCATATGGTGTGATGTGGGACCCCCTAGGCCTCCACGTGGACACCCATTGGCCATTTGGGTGTCACGTGCTTGGGGACTGTCTTTAATGATCATTTCATCCAAACAATTCTGAAAAATGCATTTTATCAAAAAAATATCCGAAAAAATTCCAAAAAGTCCACAAAAATCTTTTTAATTATTTTCCATCAAAATAAATGACTTTGACATTGTTTAAAAACATTTACAAGGGAAATTAGGATCCTTGAAGTTGAATTATGAATTGGAGCACTCCACTTGGCTAGATCACAAATCCAAAGCCACCTTCTTGGTATGACCCAATAGACTCATGACCCACAATGTATAATCAGGGGCTCATGATCTTATTCTATCAAAGTCAAATCAATGAGTGGCCCTGAATCATCTAGTATAAGTGGATATCAAGTGCACCCCTTAAAGGACACGCACACACAGTGCGGGTTCCTCTCTTGGCTCATGTGCATACTTCTTATCGGTGGATCCTTGGAAGAGCGGCTTCTCATGTGTTGCGACTGTATATGCACATGTTAGGAAAATGATCTAAGAGTCAGGGATTTAGGCAATACCTTTTATTGGCCCCTAACCTTCCTGTATAGGGGTATTTCATCATTGAGTTCATATCACATAATAACATAGATACATAAATCGTATTGTTGCCCTAACCCATCACTCAATCATGAGGCACAAATATAATAATCGACACTGGCTAAGAGGTAACCCTCTCTCGGTACCATGTATATAAATTCTTCTCATGACTCACTCGGGGTTCCATGCCTCTTGGTCCCAGTGCACCAAGATCTTGGAGTCATGTCGCTCTTTTACTCCCATTGAAGTTAAGAGTTATCTAAAATGTCAGAATTTAAGGCCTTGAAGGGACATAATTCCAACAAGTGGGCTCAACATCCGAGGGCTCAAGAAGGCAAACATAGCCTTGTTGGGCAAGTGGTGGTGGCAAAATGCCACCGAAGAACACCATCTTAGGTAGCAAGTGATTTTCCACAAACATCATCGGCACTACCAATCTTCTTGGCCGCTAAACTGCAGAACCAACAACAGGTCCTCCGGTATTTGGAGATCACTCCTTGCATTCGCCACCCCTTCAAAACCCATGTCTTCTTTCAGAAATTAGGTTTTGGTTCGTCGGTTCCCTTAAAGGCCTCTTCCCCTCTCTCTTCCTTCTCGTTCTGAACCGCCAGGCTACAGTCGTTGACTACTTTCCTCCCTAGGCGTCTTCTAGAACCCAGACTCCCACCTTCAGACATTCACCCCCAAATGAAGAGATGCAGGAAGTTTTAGACATTTCCTCCCTCCTTCGTTCCACCTTCCTTCCTCTCTCAGTGCTAGACAAGATCAGTTGATGCCCATCGCCTGCTGGACAATATGCAATCTCTTCTTTATACAAAAAGCTTCTTGAACCCCCCACCTTCCCTCATACCTTGCCCTTACCCCAGTTGCCATTAAAACTTGGTCTACCCTTGCCCCTCCCAAAATCAAGTTTTCACTTGGATTGCCGTTGCTGAGAGGGTCCTCATGATAGACCAATTGCAAAGAAGAGGTATGCCTTCCCCAACGGTTGCACTCTTTGCTAGGCAGCAGAAGAAACCAATGCTCATCTCTTCCTCCATTGCCTATTCTCACACGAACTGTGGGGTGCCCGTGCCCTGCTATGACTCTTTGGATGGCAATGGGTAACTCCTTCCTCGATTCCTTCCCTCTTTTGCTCTCTCCAGCCCTTTCCATGGCAAAATCTGGTATCTTGCTCTAGAAGCCTCAAAGGCAGCCTTACTTTGAACCCACTGGATCAAACACAACAATAGGATATTCCAGGGTGAATCGTCATTCCCAACAACTCTATTCCACAAAATTAAATCCCAGGTTATATTCTGGGTTTCCATTCAAAGGTTTCCCTTCCTCTGTATATTATCAAGACTGGCAGGCCTTGCTTCATCTCAATCACCAACAACCTTCTCGTGCCTCTCTTTGGAGACCACCGGAGATTGGTCTAGTCAAACTAAATTTTGATGCTTGTTCCCTAGGTAACCCATGCCTTGCTGGAATTGGAGGCCTTTTCCGAAATCACCAAGGCTCTGTCCTGGCCTCTTTCTCCAAACCCATTGGCCATGCATATGTGCAAATAACGGAGGCTGTGCCCTTCTCGAAGGGCTAAAAAATTTTGACCCTTCCTGGAGCCTTGGCCTGGTAATAGAAGGTGACTCTTAGAACACAATCACCTGGGCTTCAGGCTCCACTGCATGCCCATTGTACCTGCTTCACATCTTCAATAAAATTTCCCACCTAACAAGTAGCCTCCCTTACTTCTGGAATAATGTTTGGCGAGTGTACAATGGGTGTAGATGCCCTTGCCAAGGCTGGTGCTAACTCTACTTGTGATTGAGTGGATTTTGTTAGACTCAGTCACTTCCTAGACTGAAGCCTTTCCTCCCCTTGTGACTTCCTTTTTTAGCCCTCTTTCACCTAAGGTGGTGTTGTATAGAGCTTCCCCCTCAGGGGGAGCCAATTTGTGATGTATATAGCTTCCATCTTGCAATAAAATTTTTGTACTCGATTATCTTCAATAGAAAACCATTAACATTCTAAAAAAACTGGTTAAAAAAAAAAACATTCTAAAAAAACAGTGACATTTTATTTTATTATTTTCTACATACTTGAAATGTTTTGGTGAGGATGACAGTGTCATATTTTACTTTGGATAATTACTTTATAAAAAGTGTTGTCCTCTGCCTGTGAAATCCTATAGCTTTGTTGTTTACGCACATTGGACATGATGTTGAAGTATTGAATTGGAGTGATTTTTTCATTCTTGCTTATTGTGGAACATGTGTTTTTAAAACTTGTATCAAGCATAGTCTTTTCAATTTATGGAAATGGTTGGGTTTCTATCATACTGGGCTCAGTTTTCATAATTGATGGAACTCTATTGTCCTCTGGTCAATGTTAATATGCTAGAACTTTGGTCACATTTTCATGAGCTCTTCACATATAATGCTTTTTTATAATATGGTGGCATCTAGATTCCTTTTGTTAGTCATATTTTGCACAATTTTCTCCTCTTTTAGATACTTTTCTGTAATGAACTTTGGGATGACTTTATAATAATGTTTGGGTACATTATAGAATTTTATTGTTTATGATTAATTATTTTAACATTTTTTGCAATAACCATTTGGATTGTTTTTCTATTTCATCTCTTTTTTCGCGTTCTTTACCTCTCTTTTTGTTCGGTGCAGCTGGGGTCGAAATCAAAATGGACAACTTGGGCTTGGCCACACTGAAGATTCACTTGTTCCACAAAGGATTCAGGCATTCCAGGTAATCAATTCTGTCTTCTTAAGATATGGATTTTTCAAGTACTGTGTATGGATTTATTGAGACCATGACTTCTGATGCATGGATACTTAAATACAAATGCCATTCTGTGTCCTACATTTGAAAACATAAATGGAGTCGGAAAAAGTTGATGTGTTAGCCAAGCCCATTGCTGCTTGGCATCATATGCACTTGAAAAAGTTCATTATGGTCCGTCTTTTTCTCATTTTTAAACCTAATGACATCATATACACTTGAAAATGCTATTGAATCGTCTTCTCAGTGGTTGCCAGAGTGCTTGGCAAAATAAGATGGAGTTTCATTTTACTACTTTCTCGTTCTGCCCTTCAATTTGTCAAGACACATGATTAGAATGTATTACCATGGATTTTGGTTGTTTACATTTGTTGATGGATCTATTCATATGGGCTGAGGGATATATATCTCAATTATACTCTATGGACTCTCTCAGATTATGGTGTTTCAAACATTTCAGCATAAATGACTGTCACATGCTTGTCACTTGAGTAATGTTTGTTTAAAGGTAAGGTTCATAGTGATCCTTTTGGACATTCTTGATATTTACCATGCTATTAGTGATCTGGCTTAGTTAAATGCAGTTCTCAGTCCATGAATAGATCTATAACTGCAAAGTTTATAAGTTTTTTCATGGAGAATACTCAAAATATTGGGTCCAACAAGTATATAATATTTGCTATTCTTGCTTTTTATATATGTATAAAGTTTATAGAGTTAACAACCCCTAAAAATATAGGGTTGTCAATTTTATATCTCGTAGTTTATATCTGTAACAGTCAAATATTCATAAAAAGCATATCCATGGGGTTTGTTTAGCTTCAAATTTTGGAACACTCTCTTACATTGGCCACTAATTTTTGGAAAATAGAAAGAAATATAAAAATAGATTTCATTAAGAGGGAGAAGATTTGGTGAATGCCAAGTATCTGTAAGAGAATGGTTAATCTGAAATTTTCAGTACTACGTTGGCTTGAGAGATTCTAATGTACGGTGGACTTGTAGGTACTTGAGTAATATGGGAAGGTAGTAATGTGGGCCATGATATGATTGTATCTTGAGATTTTTTACTACTATATGAGGTTGGATCTGAACGATTTTGTACTAACATTCAAGGCGTGAGAAGCTAAACATTTCGATCTTTACACTAGTTAAGCAAATAACTAGAATTAGTTTCTTTGGGGTCTTGGATATCTTGATTTGATACTTCACCAAAAAGCCTGAACAGCAATTTAGTATAGTTGATGGACCGAAAAAGTTCCTAGGCAGATGTAGGAATGCAAGTTGTTCCTATGCAAACCAGGTCGCTGACGGGCTACCAAACAGGGAGCTGCCTCTGTTCTACTTGTGGGCTAAACGCATCTCTTGCCTATGACGTGGGCCTATCCTTTTTCGGTCTTTTGCCTCCACTGCGCTTGGTGGCCTTTGTTTTCTTAGTCAGTTGTAACGATGGGGCTCTTTTGACCCCGTTTATGGCTTTCTCTTTTGTCACTCTCCTTGGTGACATTTTGTGTTGTATCTCTCTCACCATCAACGCAATGTTAACAGTATAAAAAAAAGTTGTTCCTATGCAAACGGAACACCAAACGACTCTTTTCCAAGGATGAGTTTCAAATTTCGTTATCAGCCAAATTTTTTCTGAGAGAATGATTTTGAAATTTCGTACTCAGCCAAATCTTTTCTAAGTATCCTTTAGCTTATGCACATTCTTCTAAGAACAACACATGCCTGACTTTTGTATCTCATTGAAGTAAATGACTAGATCAAGTGCATGGTATAACAGCATAAATAAAATATATGGTGGCTTTGTGTAAAATAATGTTGTATGAAAGATAATGTAAGGTAGACAGAATATTATGAGGAATGCACACTCAATTTTCTCTTGTGCTATAACTCATAATTATTCCCTGGTGGCTTGGGTTTGAACTGGTCATGGCAGTTCTTAAAGGGCTTTATTTATTTATTTTATTTTATTTTTAATGACAATTGAGATGCTAATAGGTGGATGCAATGTGCATTGCACAAGGTTTTCTAGTGAAACAGCTAGTTTTGGAAAAAAAGATTATCCAACTCAACATGTTTGCCTTGGTCATGGATATAATATTTGTGGACAAATGATGAGTGATCTTGTTTTGACATAATAATTGGGAGGAAGAGATTACGAACCCCGAGTTCATCCACAAAATACTGTCGGCCCATTCTTTTTGGTGTCTATATATAAGTAAAGGATCTGAGACTGGCAAAGATCTTGATGATAAGAAAGTATTATCAGGAACAATCCCTATAAATGAGAGTTCATGGGGCTAATGCAGCAAATTATTATTTGCAGCTTATATTATTTAGGATACTAACATCATGGATTATGGATATTTCAATGCACACTTCATTTCAATGATATACACATTTCAACGTGGCAGGGATACTGTCAACATAAATTATGAATATTCTAGTTGCACTAATGATATTAATATCTCACTGTGTTGTCCGACCCATGTGTGACCATGCACATGTGGGCTACTTTTGTAAATACAATGTCTTGACCTGCCAATCCGAAGTTTCATTTCCTTTCATTCAGGGGAGAGGAGCAATAGGGCTCCTTATTGTTTACTTTCTGAGAGAACTAGATTGGGAGTTAGGTAGACTGGGACATCACTCTTTTGGATAAACATGTAGAAACTGGACAAGCTAAACAAAATTTTTAATATTATATTTATAAATTATGGTTGGTCCATAAGGACATCGTTGGAAGTAGAGAGAAAAGATATAGTGACTTATGGTCTCATTGAGGGTATGACCCTTGATATAGGCAGACTATGATTCGTGTAGTCAACCCCAAATAGTTGGGAAAGACTCTAATGATGATGATTATGATCATCGGGATTCATGGAAAATTTTAACAAAGTTTTACGATGGCTGCCTACTGGACACAACCCACCTCTTTGAAAATGATGATTTATAAATTCTAGTAGAAGTTTCTTTGTATCCACAGGGTGCTAGTGGGAAATCACCACAATCTTTCGGTTTAAGGGTTGGTTTTTCTTAGAAAATCAATTACTACATTTTTTTTCTCACTGTGCAACATGAAACCTTTGATTTCTCACAGCATCTCTTTCCCATTTAATTCATTTTAAGTTAAACCACTAGATAATCCTGCTTCAGTCAAAAAGTTCATCTAAAATCAACCCTAAAACCTCTTGAGAGAATTTAGCTGCCTCCCAGTACATGGACAATTATGGACTTATTAGAGGATTTGAAATTGGGTTTTTGTATTATGTAGCTGCTGATTGACTTAGTTGACCTCTGACATGGTCTTGGACAGAAATGGTGTGGGAATACTTTAAAGGTTTGGTAAATTTTAGGACGAGATATTGGTAGACTTCTTATAAGACGCAACTAGGCTAGAATTCTGACTAGAAGCAACTAGGCTGAATCGGGAAAGGGTTAGCATCCTGGGTTTCTCTTCATTTGTTAGCCTCTTCTAGATATACCGTATGTATAAATGAATGCAAAACACTCGCCTCTTCTAGATATACTGTATGTATAAATGAAAGCAAAACCTGTTGTTGAGTGATTTGCACATCTTAGCAATTTTTCCCTTTAATCATCCGTAATTGGTGGTATGATCTTTGTTAACTAGAGCATCCAGACACATTTTAAATATCATTATGTCAAATTGGAATATAAGGTTAGTTCATAATCAGTCTTGGCATCATCCAGCCTTTCGTATTAAATTTTTATTAACTATTTGAATGCTTTTAATTGGGCATATTTTGAAGTTTAGGGTGAAGTCTCTTTAATTTGTGTGTCAGCAGCATATTCAGCTAGTAGTTGTAAAAATGCTGAAACAGTATTGCTGCGGTGACTCTGTTTTGCAGTGAGTTGGCAAATATGGAAACTTTGATTTGAAAGCTACATACATATATTGATGAATTTGATCCTACTTTTCATTATGTTATGGAATTAATGTGCTGTGAATTTGTAGGTACCTTTCTTAGAATAGATTTTTATTTTTACTTTTTCTATAAATTTCCTTCTGAGGATATTGATTGCCTGTCAATAGTAAGGGCATTATATGTAGCTTAATCACTGTCATGTTTGAATTGATGATTCACACTAATTAAATAAAACTGCAGTTGATGGATATTTCTTAACTTTAATCTGAGGTGTGACCTAGAAGTTTCTACTATATTATTTTTGCTGTTTGATCATATTGTTCATATATAGTGTACTTGATTAAATATATTTTGATCCAGGGAGTACCTGTCAAAATGGTTGCAGCAGGTGCTGAACACACTGCTGCTGTTACAGAAGATGGAGAACTTTTTGGATGGGGCTGGGGTCGATACGGAAATTTGGGACTAGGTGACAGGAATGATCGTTTATTTCCTGAGAAAGTTGCTGCAATTGATGTATGATCATTTAGCCTTTTGTTTAATATACCAGCTGCAATTGACATGTTTGTACAGATTATTTTATTTAGGTGGTGATTATTTCTTGTTCTTATCATTGTTGTAGATGATATCTAATGTTCTGGATGCTAATTTGATGATGTATGAAACATAATGGGCTCTTATGTGTGCTGAGTTTCTTGATTTTCTCATTTCTGATTAAATTGATGTTCCTGAATGGAAATTGCTAAACATCTTACAGTTCCTAATTCATACATTTTTGCTTTCCCTCCTGTTGTACTTTTGGTACATAATCCTGTGTCTCAGGGGAAAAATGGTGTTGATGGACCTACTTATTTTTCTGTGCAACAGTGTATGTTCTTTTTGCAAGTATTTGGTTTGTTAAGTTTGTGTACTCTGAAGTTCTGACAAGTGAATACAATATTTTTATCCTAAAGTTAGAATAATTATGTCACCAGATTATTCAGCAGTCATTGACATGTCATGAAAGATGTCACACCCTAAGTTTTATAACACTGAAATTCCGGAGATGTGATAGTTTATTCTTAACAAACAAAACAAATTCTAAATTTCTACTATAAAGTTGTATGTATGTATATATATATATATATATATATATACCTAACTATTACTTAAGCAAGACTACACGTTAAGTA